GTCCGAAATCCTCAAGAAGGCTTTTTTTTCTTTTAAACCGTCCGCCGTGTGGAACGAACCCTCTTACCTGAGGATCATGAGGTTGCTAACCACATTCGCTATCTAAGCCAAAAAGAGGAACATATCTAAAATACAACAATGTAAAACAAGTACTACTTCTTGTTCTCTTCGTTCTCCAAGCCAGTATTTTGTAAAGGAGGCCACGGGCCTCTGTGGAGGCTGGTGCCAGATATGTGCTCCCCTGACCCATACAACTTGGTTTCTACCTGCGTGCCAACTGGCCAGACCTAGTATCTCTCTATTGCAAGTAGAGAGCATGTCTGCAGCACATCTTTGAGTATTCTGACATGCTTGTCTACGGCACATCTTTGAGTATTCTGACCTGCTTGTCTACGGCACATCTTCAGTATTCTGACCTGCCTGTCTACAGCACATCTTTCAATATTCTGACCTGCCTGTCTACAGCACATCTTTGAGTATTCTGACCTGCTTGTCTACGGCACATCTTTCAGTATTCTGACCTGCTTGTCTACAGCACATCTTTGAGTATTCTGACCTGCTTGTCTACGGCACATCTTTGAGTATTCTGACCTGCTTGTCTACAGCACATCTTTCAGTATTCTGACCTGCCTATCTACAGCACATCTTTCAGTATTCTGACCTGCCTATCTACAGCACATCTTTCAGTATTCTGACCTGCCTGTCTACAGCACATCTTTCAGTATTCTGACCTGCCTGTCTACAGCACATCTTTGAGTATTCTGACCTGCCTGTCTACGGCACATCTTTGAGTATTCTGACCTGCCTGTCTACAGCACATCTTTCAGTATTCTGACCTGCCTGTCTACGGCACATCTTTCAGTATTCTGACCTGCCTGTCTACAGCACATCTTCAGTATTCTGATCTGCCTGTCTACAGTACATCTTTCAGTATTCTGACCTGCCTGTCTACAGCACATCTTTCAGTATTCTGACCTGCCTGTCTACAGCACATCTTCAGTATTCTGACCTGCCTGTCTACAGCACATCTTTCAGGATTCTGACCTGCCTGTCTACGGCGCATCTTTGAGTATTCTGACCTGCCTGTCTACGGCACATCTTTCAGTATTCTGACCTGCCTGTCTACAGCACATCTTTCAGTATTCTGACCTGCCTGTCTACAGCACATCTTTCAGTATTCTGACCTGCCTGTCTACATGGGCAAAGTTTTCTGAGTCCCAGTCTTAACATTTTTTTTAAATATATGGCTGCATAGTCTGTTGTGTCCAGTTGGCAATACAATGGCCTGCTTCTGTCATGTCAGGGGGTTGACTGGGTACAGATGAGTCATGGCCAACAAAGATGAGGAAAACCAAGTGCCTACTTATATTGCTGGTATTTCAGACACTAACTTTAAGCATAATCAACATACAACACTGGTATTTTAGACGCTAACGTGAAGCATAATTAACATACAACATTGGTAATTTAGACACTAACTTGAAGCATAATTAACACACAACACTGGTATTTTAGACACTAACTTGAAGCATAATTAACACAGAACACTGGTATTTTAGACACTAACTTGAAACATAATTAACACACAACACTGGTAATTTAGACACTAACTTGAAGCATAATCAACATTCAACACTGGTATTTTAGACACTATTTCGAAGCATAATCAACATACAACACTGGTATTTTAGACACTATTTTGAAGCATTATTAACATACAACACTGGTATTTAAGACACTAACTTGAAGCACAATCAACATACAACACTGGTATTTTGTTTGACTCTCTTATCTTTATCTTTCTATCCCTCGCCATATATATATATACTGTCTATTAACAGGGCTGTTGTAAAAGGCGACTATCTAGGGGTGCATCTGCCTGACAGACGAGGTACCAACAGTCTGCATATGAATAAGCCATCTCTGTAAAACAAATGTGCACCAAAAAATTAAAGTTCTAGAACAGCATCAAAGTCCAGAATTGGATGAACAACTATAACTTTCTGCCAGACTTTACAACCTGTGAATGCAAAGAAGAAGAAAAAGAAGAGACCGTCTTGATGTGGATCTGAACCTTAGAGCTTGAGGCCTGCGCGCACGGAGAGGGGGGGGGGGTGGCGACATCTAACCAGTATGCTATTGCTTTGCAACTCAGGTGTACTTGTCCAAAACAGGATATAACCCATTCAACATGTTGGTTGCAGTCGTTTGCCACTGATGAAATCACTACTGCTGAAACTCTTGTATATGCTGAATGTGTGTTAGCTATACGGGGGTGGATTGAGGGCTTAGCTATATGGGGGTGGATTGAGGGCTTAGCTATCTGGGAGTGGGTTGGGGGCTTAGCTATCTGGGAGTGGGTTGGGGGCTAAGCTATCTGGTAATAGGTTGGGAGCTTAGCTATCTGGGGTTGGGTTGCGGGCTTAGCTATCTGAGGGTGGGTTGAGGGCTTAGCTGTTGGGGGCTTAGCTATCTGGAGGTGGGGTGAGGCTTAGCTATCTGGGGGTGGGTTAGGGGTTAGATATCTGGGTGGTGGGTTGGGGGCTTAGCTATATGGGAGTGGGTTGGGAGCTTAGCTATCTGGGGGTGGGTTGGGAGCTTAGCTATTTGGGAGTAGGCTGGGAGCCGAGCTATCTGGGGGTGAGTTGGGGGCTTAGCTATCTGGGGGGGGGGGGGGGTGAGTTGGGATCTTAGCTATCTGGGGGTGGGTTGGGAGCTTAGCTATCTGGGGGTGAGTTGGGAGCTTAGCTATCTGGGGGTGGGTATAGGGCTTAGCTATCTGGGGGTGGGATGTGGCTTAGCTATCGCGGGGCCTTCAGTGGCAAAGTGGTCAAGCTGTTTACCGCATGCTCTGAAAGTAGAGATGTAGTTTCACGGACACATTTTTTAGTTTACAAATGTTAATTTTAAATAGGAGTCCCCTGGGGATCATTGCTGAGGTTACAGAGTTTGTGCTTTGTTCGACATTGATGGCATGCCGCTAGTCATTCTGTAGAGAAAAGGTACAGGTAAAGAGAAAGCCTGCCCAAATGGGATAAAATCTAGTGTAGTGAAGACAATCCTCTAGACTTCAACTGTAACTGAGTTATGCCTTTACATGGCCACAACCTACCTGAAGTGTTAAGCCAGTCATCCTCAAGCCAACTGGTATTAATAATGTCTGATATACTGCCTCCTTGTCTGTACCGCAATGGGAATAAAACCCGCCCAAATGGAACAAATTCTGGTGTTATTTATTAGATCACAAGCCTTTGTTGTTACAACAGCTGCACATTTCTTAACGCTTCGAGCTGCAGCACGTTGGTCTATCTATTGTTTGTCACTGTGTGGTCTATAAGTTAACTCTTTCACTCCCAAGCAGTTGTTACTTAAACTCTGTACCAATGAGCTGAGCTTAATTTAAATATATATTTGAGTCTGTAGAACTTTTACAGAGACACTACCAGACAGAAGAAGTGAAACTAATCATTCGCAGACAACGGGTTAATTAAACACCTCTTTCTAAAAGATGTGAGCGAGAATATTGTCTCTGCAACGACCAAGAAACGCATCTGAAGTTGTCTGATGCTGGAGGAGTTAGAAAAGGTATTTGCCGTTAAGTGTAGTGTAAGTTGTAAGTCTACCAACAGTCCATTCCTATATGAATTATGTCTTGGGGTGGTATGCTAAAGCTCTGAGTTGTTGGTCTTTCTACTGTCTCTCTCTCCATGTGGAACATAGCTGAGGTAGATATTTTCTGATAAATGGGAGCTGTTTGTGTATTTCTGTGTTTGTTTCTGTACGGACAACATCATGTGGAGTGGGAGTAATAGCTGGCACTTTGGTACTATTAGAAGAAGGAGAGATGGCACTTTAGTACTGTCAGCAGGAGGAGAGATTATACTAGGGTGCTGCCAGGAGAAGGAAAGAATTTACTCTGATACTGTCAGAAGGAGAGATGGTACTCTGGTATTGTCAGCAGCAGGAGAGATGGCAATCTGGTATTTCAGGAGACGAAGAGATGGTACTCTTGTCAGGAGAGATAGCACTTTCATTTTGTCAGCAGCAGGAGAGAGGGCACTTTGGTATTGTCAGGAGAAGAACAGATGCTACTTAGGTATTGTCAGAAGAAGGAGAAATGGCACTTTCGTATGTCAGGAGAAGGAGAGAGTGTACTCTGGTATTGTCAAGAGAAGGAGAGATGGTACCTTGGCTTTGTCAGGACAGGGAGAGTGTACTTTGGTATTGTGAGAAGGAAGATTGGTGCTCTAGTATCATCAAGAGGAGACATGGAAAGATTCCACACCAACCTCCCTTCGAGAAACAGGATTCAGTTGACCCGAACATCCACACACCTATTTTTGACTTAAAGCTCAACCTTTGAATTGGCCAAAAAGCCATGCACCTCAGTCCCTGTGGAGGTACCGAGTCACAAGAGTCTCTACAGAACCTGACCCCTACAGATACAAGCCCTTTTCAGGGTTCAGACAACCTGAACACTACAATATTGGATTTATAAGCTAAGGATGAATCTGTGTGACAATTCAAAACCAACCCCTTGTCTTCTTCTTCACCATTCCGAAGCAGATATCATCTGCCATCATTTATCTGTGTGATGATTCACAACCAACCCCTTGTCTTCTTCTTCAGCACTCCGAGCCCTTGAGGCTCACTGCTGCAGATATCATCCACCGACATACATCTCAGTGACGATTCAAAACCAATCCCTTGTATTCTTTTTTAGCACTCCGAGCTCTTGGGGTTCACTGCTACAGACATCACCCGCCGCCATCGTCTCTGTGACTGGCCTTCTCTTTCCAGCAGGTAACTCCAAGTGTCTGAAGTCTGCATGTCTATCATCTCTTCATCTTTTAGTTGTACTCCAGGTTTCAAAGATATATATGTCAACTTGTCTAATAGTGTTTTATACACTGTAAGCTTAGTGTTTTGAAAATATTCATAATTGACCACACACTATATAAACAAAACACATTCACTGTAGTACATGCCAAAGAAATTACTTCTTATTCTGAACTTGTTCAGCAACGTTCTCTTGTTGTCCCTCTGATGTGTCTTCTTGAGATTTTCTAACATTCTGCTTGGAAACTTTCTGTGACTTGCTGCTGTTGATCTGTGGTTGTGGATTGGTATTGGCACCATCAATGGCTGTAGGCAGTTGTAGTTGATGGATGACATCTGGAGAGCTAAACAACAAAAGAAAACACTGCAGTTACTAGATGACATCAGGAGAGCTAAAAAAAATAGTTGCAGTTATTGGGATGACATCCGCAGAGCTGAACAGAATTAACATTGCAGTTGTTGGATGACATTAGGACAGATAAACAAAAAAAAAAACATTCAGTTGTTGGATGTTACCAGGTCAGATAGAAAACAAAAACACTGCAGTTTTTGCATGACATCTGGAGAACTCAACAAATAAAAACGGCACTGTAAAATGCAAAGGGAGAAAAAAAAAAAACCAATGGGTAGAGGAAATGTGGGTTTTGAGAGAAATACAGAGTATCACTGAATGATAGAAAAGTAAATAAGCCAGCTCTTCTTACTACAGCAAACAAAATCAGCATGTTTCTGTTTCAGGAACCCTTTATGAAAGTAAAGAATTGTAAACCCCTATGCAACTGTAAAAGGTGACAAAGAAAAACGGAAATGTGACTTATTAGCTCATCTGACACCTGCAAAATCTAACCCCACAAAGGCCTTGGGGGGGGGGGGGGGGAGGAAAGGGGGGTAGCTGACTGACAGCTAAAAGAGAACATGAAATAAGAAATATTGTCCTTACCTGCACAGAATTGCAGGTGACATCCTACTGGCTGTAACAGTTTTTTTAAAACACACACACAAAGAAAACCCAAGAAGTTTTAAAAAAAACCAAAAAAAAAAAACAGTATACTAGTGAGGAAAAAAACAACAACAGCAAAAATCAAAAACAAAACTTGGACATCTCCTGAGCCATTCCAAGCCTCCTGATATGGTAACAAAATTAAATTATATGCACACAAGAATTATCAACCAAGCCGCAAAAAGAGCCGACAACGATGCATGTGTCATGGCTGTTTGCCAGAGATATTGACCCGATATCATTGAACTACTGATCTCTGTTGGTTTTTATCTCATCTATTTGTCTTCTTCCCACTTCTTTTTCAGCATGCAAGATACTTCATCTCCAAAGTAAACATCTTAAGACATGAGCAGCAAATAAAATTAAGGAAATTCAATTTTCCAAAAATATCTTCAATCTGAATCCTGGGAAAACTATAGGAAAAGATTCCGACATTCATTCACTCACACACACATATTCATTCATTTAGTCAAACATAAGGGTCATGTGAGCAAACAGAAATGGACAGCATACCAGTTACAGAAAAAAGGAACACACGACTTTATAAAAAGAAATGTTGTAAGTTTACGTGGAAATTCTCAAGTTAGGAGAATTAGTTTTTCATAAATTAAAAAAAAACTGTAGAAAAAGTAAAAAGCTTAAAAAGAATTGAGCTGCAAGGTTATCTGTTAATGAAGTCAGTCGGTTCAAAGGTACTTTAAAAGTCTCATCACTCCCAGACAAGTGAATGTTTTGAATATCATTGGTTAACTAACAGAAGCAATGTTACCAGACTCTGGACACAACCACAAGTGATCCGTCTTCTTTATCAGATGAAGTATATGGAAGCTAACTAGTGACATTCATGTTAGATATGTGCATCCACATTCATATAATTCAAAAACTGAATGTAACATGACATAATATTCACTTCAGGCACTTTAACACCTAGAGGACTGAACTGCCAACACAGTTTCATTTAAAATCCTAGGGGATTGAACTGACCACACTGTTTTCTGGAATTTCCCGGGGTTATTTATTATCCTGCCCATGTGTCTAGTCAGTCTACTGACAAGACATCGACCTGGCTGCTTCTAGATACTAAGCTAAGTGATTTTGTGTATTTGTGTGGGATTGTTTAATTAATATATGTGCTGACGAAGGCTTCATAGCCGCAATGTTCATGTTTTGTTTGAGTACGCTATATTGTGAAGCTTGCTAAGATACTTTTTGTTCTGTTTTAATCCTTTCTTGATATTCATAAAATTGACATGTAGCACTGTAAGCTGTAACTTCTGTTGGCCAATAACTTACAAAACACTGACTTCCCTGGGTGATCAGACCTGCATATCCGATACACATCATGATTTGGACAAGGGTTTGTTGTTTATTTTATTTTACTGTCTAGACATTCTTAGTGAGATTTTAAATCTCTCAAGCAGTATCATCATCATCATTCTCCTGTTGTGTCATTATATGTCAAATAGGGCTGGCAGTCTATTCCTCCATTTAGTTCTACCCTATGCAATGCCTTTGATATTATGGGTGGAATTCAGTCCAGCATCTTCTGCCTCTCTCATCAACCTTCATTCTAGGGTTTCTTTTAGATGTCCTTGCTTCCTTAAACAGTATACCTGGGTTCAAATCCTCAGCACGGTAAAGGATTTGTAACTTCCTCTTGTTATAAGTCATGTGGCACGGCAATGACCATCATGGTTGTTCAGAGCTTTCTGTCACCCTTGATGCCAATAACTTCCAATGTAGGAATCCTTTAATACCACAAATCAAGCTGATCTGAATCTTCTAGCAAACCATCTACCCCCTTCCATGACTTTCTTGTTTGATTTATCCAGTTTGTAGGGATTAGACAGCAGGTATTGCTGAAGTAGAAATTATATGACTGAATCATTACAACTTCGGCCCAGGTGACGCGATATCACATACACATGGCTCTGTGATGAGAGATAAAAGATGGGTCAATGGGTTCACAGGAAAAGTGAATGGATGATAGTGCAACAAAGAATTAGATACCATAACATCTAGTCCAGCACTGGAGGTGGGCTAATGAATGACAGGCTTTCTGGACACCGCATTTGTAGTTAGTCACTGTACATCGAATCATTCAGTCCAGAAGTGCTCAGATCTTCTCCTTGGTAAATCCCACAGCCTGTAGGGGCTGACGACTCCTGTTCTGTGTTGGTTTCTTATTCTTGTTTGGCTTCCTGCATAGTGCTTCTGTCTGGTCACACCTCTTTTAACATCCATTTCTGAGGGGTCACCAGCTCCGAGATACCCTGCCAGCTCAGTCTGGGCTAATACTGGCCATTATCCTTGATGCACGATAAGGATGTGAGGCAGGAGTCTTGCATGAGTTTCCATATAACCAGCACAGAGCCTTTAGGCATGCAAGGTGAGGTACAAGGTATTCACTCACACAACAGTCTCAACTTCCTGTCATGCCTGAGACTGAAATAACTGCACCGCCTTATGCTTACCAGTAATATTAAAGAAGATGCACAAATGTGAACAGATGACCCCCATCACTCTAAGAAGGCTAAATCTAGCCACTTCAGACTCCGAAACAATCCAGTAAATGCCGATATATGGCCATGTCTGCATTGACCTGTTCTCGAAAAGAGTGTGAGTATATTCCTGTAATGTGTTTAATAAGCTAGGATATGAATAGAGCAGCTATAAATGGCACTGGGAGGGGGACGGCGGAGGGGTGTCCATATAACCAACATAGCTTTCTGAAAGCCAAGATGATGTCAAATTTGCCCCTAAGCCTTAGTGATAGAGGTCATGAGTCACAGCATGAGTGACCCGATACAATTTAGATTTTTGTATGCCCCGGGAAATGTATTCTGTTGAATGTTTCACCATATTTGTTTTTACTGATTACCCCTTTGTACATCTTTACATATTTTTTGAAATGATATATATTAAAAATGGAGATAGATAAATATTAACATATTTTATTAGTGACCTGTCTTGTATGGTTGTTTTTTTCAAGGATTTTTTTATTTTTTTTTTTTTATTCCTGAAAAAATACCGGTTCATAGCCCATCTTTTTTAGCATTTACAAGGTTTAAAAGTTTAACAGAGTGACAGCTGAAAGAGAACAGAAATGTCCTCAATATGCAACTAATATTTTATGTATTTATTGTGACAGAATAAATTAGAAGTGTTTCTGTAAACACAATATGCTGAGTCTGGAGACTGATACTGTTACCATATAACACTATTATAAAAACCCCACTACATGGAACAGTTGAAGGTGAATGGATGAATGAATAAAGATATTTCATTTTCAAAGGATCACAATTAGGACACACAGGCCTATCTATATTTGGCTCTTCCAAACACTCATCTTTCACACAGCAGCCATAATTGTATCTCTAAAGCATATAATGTTCACACAGCAATATTCATCTTTCACAAAGCAGCCATAAATGTAACTATAAAGCATATTTTCACACAGCAGCCATAACTGTATCTATAAAGCATATAATGTTCACATAGCAATATTCATCTTTCACACAGCAGCCATCATTGTATCTATAAAGCTTATAATGTTCACACAGCAATATTCATCTTTCACACAGCAGCCATAATTGCATCTATAAAGCATATAATGTTCACACAGCAATATTTACAGTAAGCATATTAAGTAAGAACAGAAAGCCATAGATAGCAGTTGTAAACATTAAAAAATACATACTTGTACACACATTCACATACTGAACATAATGAGCAAGAAGTGGACAGCAATACAAATGGGAGAATAATAATAACATCAAGAAACAGTTGTACTGCAGCTTGAGACAGTATTTAGACAACAAGGGGCAGTGTTTAGACAGGACAGGAGACAGTGTTTAGCCAGGACAAGAGACAGTGTTTAGCCAGGACATAGTGTTTAGCCAGGACAAGAGACAGCGTTTAGCCAGGACAAGAGAAAGTGTTTAGCCAGGATAGGAGACAGTGTTTAGCAAGGACAGGAGACAGTGTTTAGCCAGGACAGGAGACAGTGTTTAGCCAGGACAGGAGACAGTGTTTAGCCAGGACAAGAGACAGTGTTTAGCCAGGACAGGAGACAGTATTTAGCCAGGACAATAGACAGTATTTAGACAGAACAAGGGGCAGTGTTTAGACAGGATAGGAGACAGTGTTTAGCCAGGACAAGAGACAGTGTTTAGCCAGGACATAGTGTTTAGCCAGGACAAGAGACAACGTTTAGCCAGGATAGGAGACAGTGTTTAGCAAGGACAGGAGACACTGTTTAGCCAGGACAGGAGACAGTGTTTAGCCAGGACAGGAGACAGTGTTTAGGCAGGACAAGAGACAGTGTTAAGCCAGGACAGGAGACAGTATTTAGCCAGGACAACAGACAGTGTTTAGCCAGGACAAGAGTCAGTGTTTAGACAGGACATAGTGTTTAGCCAGGACAAGAGACAGTGTTAAGCCAGGACATAGTGTTTAGCCAGGACAGGAGACAGTGTTTAGCCAGGACAAGAGACTGCGTTTAGCCAGGACAGGAGACAGTGTTTAGCCAGGACAGGAGATAGTGTTTAGCCAGGACAGAAGACAGTATTTAGCCAGGACAGGAGACAGTGTTTAGCCAGGACAAGAGACAGTGTTTAGCCAGGATAGGAGACAGTGTTTAGCCAGGACAGGAGGTAGTGTTTAGCCAGGACAGAAGACAGTATTTAGCCAGGACAGGAGACAGTGTTTAGCCAGGAAAAGAGACAGTGTTTAACCAGGACAGGAGACAGTGTTTAGCCAGGACAGGAGACAGTGTTTAGCCAGGACAGGAGACATGTTTAGACAGGACAAGAGACAGTGTTCAGCCAGGACAGGAGACAGTATTTAGCCAGGACAGGAGACAGTGTTTAGCCAGGACAGGAGATGATGTCTGAGGTATACTGCAGCCAACCTTAATAATACAAGTGGCACCAGACTGAATGACTGTTATAATAACCTCCAGTAAAAAGTTAAAATATACAGATACCATCTCTAATCATATAGCAGCAACAACAACAACAAAATCATTTATTCAGGATTTGAAAAGTCAGTGTGCTATTATTTATTGTTCTGTTAAAATTATATAGAAATATTGTTATTGCCTTAAAATCCATTTGGGAGCCAAGAACACTAACATTGTAATGTCCTATGATAATGCATGATCCCTTTGGGCTATCTTACTTTCTTAGTCGTTTCTCTTCTACCCTGGGGTGTAGAGCTTTGCCAGACAGATCCCCAGACTTTTCTATCAGCAATTTTCTTTCTGGCTTTGTTCCATTTCGGTCCTCTGTCAGTCAGGGACTGTCGGGCATTGTCTTCCCGGCACACCCTGGTTTCCTGGTTCTTAGCCTCCCATGGTGGCTGATTTTTCTCCCATTCTGCAAACATGTCCAAATCTCGTGACTGATCCACTCGAGTTTGTAAGGTCTGGGTTTCAAGATCTTGACGTATTGTCTGACTGTGAATTTTGTCCCTTCTTGTCACTTGGACCACCAGATCTGGCACTAGGTAGGGCAGTGAAGAGCCATTTTTTTTCTTCTTGCCAATTTATCTTTTGCTAAGAAACCCTCGGTTCATGGCCTGGACAAGTCTCCCAGTAGCTACTTTTTGAGCATCTAGCTCTGTCTTAATGCCTCCATTATGGTCTATAACAACAACAAGGTATTTGAAATGGTTGACTTGCTCCAATGCATGCTGTCCCACCATGATTTGCTGTTTCTTCTCCTTTCTTGAAATCACCATGGTTTTAGTTTTGGAGATACTGATGGTCATCCCTCTCTTCTCAAACTCTTCCTTTCAGTCAGGTAAGTTAGAGTGAGGATATGTCTCTTATTAAGCCATCAGGGCCACATTGTCTGCAAATGCCAGCTCTGATATTCAGATTGGTCACATCTTCAAGTAACCTACTGAGTACTTCATTGTCTTCTCCTTACAGGTCTTGATGACATCATCCATCACACAAGTGAAGAAGTAAGGTTAGAGATTATCACCTTGTCTAACACTATTGGTGGTCTTTAATTCTTCAGACTTTTGGTTTATTGTTCTTACCTAATTTCTGCAGCTTTTATAACCTGATTTAATCACTCCCAAGGACAGTTTCCTTCTCTGTAGTGGGGTAGTCTGTTAGTATTAGTATTTTGTCGCATGGTGAATGAAGGAGAACACATATTATTGTAAATAGTGGTTGGATATAGAATGGACCTTGTAAAAGTGTCCCGATTATAATCTTGAAGTCAGAACAGGATATTCTGTAAATAGGAACACAGATTTCCATCATGATAATGTTATAATAACTGTTTTGTCATCACCACTGTGTAGATTGGCTATGTGTACCGATCACTGGCTTTATGAATATTAGTTAACTCAAAAGCAAAACAGAAGAAAAAAAAGAACAAAAAAGTCTTAGTTTAATAAATACGAGGGAAGGTCAATAAGTAAGTGGCAAATAGTTGTTTAAAAAAAAAAAAAATATGATAACAACTTGAAAACCATTTATCTTCACACATACTGTCCCTTTATTAACATAATTTCTACCAACATCGATGCACTTGTCCCATCGTTTTATCAGTCCTCCCAAAACTGCCGCATGAAACTGCATGCTCTGTTTTGTAAACCACATTTTCCACGGCACATTCAACTTATTATTTGCAAAATGTCTCCCACCAAGGTGGGTTTACAGTGGACCAAAAAGGTGGAAATCGCTAGGGGCTAAATCGGGGCTGTAAGGTGGATGTTCGAGAAGTTCCCACCCTAGATTGTTAATTTTCTTCTGAGATAACGAGCAGTATGTGGTCTGGTTTTGTCATGAAGGGGCAGATCTCCTCTACTCAGCAGGCCTGGACGTTTTCTTTCAATTGCATCATCAAACATCAATAGAACTTTACAATATGAATCAGCATTCACATTGTCACCTCTTTTTTTTTTTTCAATTAGTTGAAAGCACTCCTTGACAATCCCAGAACACTGTCAGCATAACCTCCCCTGATGATGGTGTAACCTTGAATTTTTTTAACACAAGGTGAAGAAGGATGTTTCCACTCACGACCAGCTCTAGCTGACGGGCCGTGCTGCTGACGTCACCGGGTCGGGCTAATAATGCGTTAACGCAGCAGTTCTCACACTGGGGGCCGAGGCACCCTGGGGTGCAGTGAGCGTATGAGAGGGGTGCCGCGGCAATAATCAAGAAAAGTCGGCTAAATATTGTGAAATTATTAAAGAAGGCCTGTAGATACTTAAAAGTTAAAATTTAAGTTGTCTTGCCCCTCCACTGTTGAGAAAAGTTTATTTCTTGTTTTAGAACCGCTGCGTTAATGCGTTGTTAGCCCGACCCGATGACATCAGCAACACGGCCCGTCAGCTGGAGCCGGTCGTGTTCCACTGCAGTGAACCATGCTTCGATTCAGGTTGGTAGTGATGCACTCATGATTCGTCCCTAGTAATAATCCTGTTCAGCATATTGTCTACTTTATCCTTTTGAATATCCTTTCAGACAGCTCTTTTGTTCCCCCGCCCTCTTTTTGCACAGTAGTATGTTGTTATTTGAGGGTACACTCTTTAAGTGCAGTCGCCATAATGAAAGGAGACATAAAAGTTTGATGTTGCCGTACAGTAATGACACCTTATGAAACCACCAACTACATTGTCCTGCTATCCCACAACCATTTGCAACTTACTGACTAATAAAAATAGAAGGAGTCTTGATTTTTAGTAGGGCTATCCTCCGAATAACAGCCACATATTATGGTGGCCAAAAGCAGGGTCTCAGTAACATGTAAACTGCGGACTTTTGGCGACTTAAAATGCGGACTTCCGGCAACTACCACCACTGCCGAGTGTATCTCCCGCACGGAACGGGGCTAAACTAGATGGTTAGGACTCATGAGCAGCAGCTTCCGCAGCTCCTGCAGCTTCGCTCGTGAGTCCCAGCCATCTAGTTTAGCCCTATTCTGCGCTGGAAATACTCTCGGCAGTGGCGGTAGTCAGCAATTCAAGTTGCGGGAAGTCCGCAGTTTACATGTGACTAAGGCCCTGTCAGGGTGTGTTTTTGGCCGCCATAATATGTGGCCGTTATTCAGATAGCCTTTAGTAGTAATAGTAAAATACTCATAAGCTCGTTTTTTATGGCGGTATGCAATATTATGCAATACCGGCACCCTCTGTATGGGCATTACTCATCATTACTGTACCGCCTTTACTTCCCATAACTTTACCTGTCCCCCATTTAAGGCTGGGTCGACTGGGCAAGTCATTTTTTAAAAAAAGTCCGCTTTTCGTTGGCTTCGAAACCCACGACATTCAGATCGGCACCGGGTGACTAGTCGCTACAACAAGATGGCTCGCTTGTACCGGCACCAATTTTTTAAACTTGGCTAGAAATTGTCTAAGAAATAGCTAGAATTACATTGCCGGTAAGACTACATTGCCCAGCGCTGTTGCATGCTCGTTAATTGGGAAAATAAACATAGAATACTACCAATGGAAATTTAATGAATGCTAGACAAAGAAATGTGCAATTTTACCTAAAATTAACTATTGCGGCTGTTCTTCCATTTGACAGAAGAAGGAAATCATCACATGCACACAGAGCAGCCATTTTGAAAGGAAATTTCGCTAGCAGCTATAACAAAAGTAAACAATGTTAACTTCAAGCCCAAATTTTTACTGTTTGTAAAATAATTTATTTTTATAATTTTTAAATCAAATAGATACGTAAGTATTTAATTTTTTGTCAGCTAACTGTTTTAAATGTCGGTATATTTTTATTGTTAAGTTCGTTCGGGGTTGAGAATAGTGAGATGTTGTGTTATCACCAATACAAATGAGCTCCGAAATCTTGATTAGTTTTCATTTTCAAATGTTTCCTAATATGTCTATAAATTATATTTATTTATTTATTGTCTTGCGCTTCCCGATAAAAATATTGGATGCATATATTAAAAGCGGGAACCGTATCAAACTGTCTTTAATAAAGGAATACGTACGGTTACCCCCTAAACTGAAAATATGAACCGTTGGGTGAAAGGAAGGCATTAGTGAAGAAGGGCGTAGTCACTTTTTTCTCATATTTTAAAGAGTATGAAGGTTGTTCATTGCTGCGAAGGATTCGTGTAACAATGAGAATAAAGGAACATATAATTCAAATAGGAAGTAAGGCGAAAGGGAAAAGCGTGGCTGACAAGTGAACATAACAGATTTTCAAAATAGTTCTTGACTTTAAAAAAAATGTGCTTGTCGCTAAACTATTTGAAATTATTATTATTATTCATTTATGTGTCCCCTTCAGGATTTCTAAAAACCTAACACTGAGTTTCTCAAATAGTTACTGCTAAGATGAGAATCCAACATGAGCAGAAACCCCATTCATTCGTATAAGAAATTGATACCAAATAACATGCAATGCAGTGTTGGTGGGTTGGTTTTCAAACAAATGATTTCACGGATATTTTCCGTTTAATATATTCCAACGTGCATTAATTAACAGGTTACGAATTCGGTTTACGTATAAGAGATTACGAATTTGGTTTACATTCTCGGCTTGTATAGATACATAACACTATCGTCTAGAAAGACGTGAAGGTGCCAATAATGTCCAAAAATATACATGTATGGCATGCTTAAAAGAACGCAGGATATTTTACCTGATGATTCGCTCTTAGCGCACTAGAAAAATATTGCGTATCCAAAAAACTCTTTGGCAAAATAGTTGTACATTTGCCTAAGTTAACGCATCCCGAAAGAAAATAGCACGCCCAGAGGATTGAATGTAGAAAGAAATAATTTTAATCCAATCTGCTATTAATGGTTTCCTTTCTGGCAACCGCTGCTCTGCTATATGGAGAACCAAGGGAGATGCTATCTGTTTTAACTGGTCTGAATATTGAACATTTTCTCTGATGAAATCGAAAATCATTGGGGCTGTTTTGCCACCTGTTAAACTTGTCAAATTCGCCAGAAAAGTTCGATCAAGGCATTGATTGGGGGCAGTCGTTTGTTGCACAATTTGGAAGAGACGGTGTTGGGGAACATGAAATGTGATTGCAAAAGTAAGAGTTGTTAAGCTTGGAAATTAGATTAAGAAGGATTTAAACGAAAGAGACAGTAGGGAATCATGCTTAAAATGTCCCCAAACTGGAGTTTATTGTGATTTTTTTTCTCTCAAGGAGCTAAAACTTGGGTCTGAAAACAGACGCAGGCGTGAGCATTGTCTGTCCGTCTTTGGGGAGGGAAAGTTATTCACGCATGCGCATGCCGTACTTGGCGTGCGCAGTGCGTTGTGCGCAGGTCGTTTGGTGACAGCTGTCCAAACATGGAGGCTTGCCGAGGGTACAGACTGCCTGTTCTCAAGCTTTAGCCCTCTAAGCCGAACTAGCCAACCAGCAAAGCTGTACCAAAGGTTACGCGAATTGACAGTTTATCATTCTTTATTGTTCGATCGTTTTTGATTGTAGGAATGACGATGGAAAACATGGGCGAGCTCCCGGCTGATCAACAAATCATCGGTGATTCGTCTAACAGTAACGGAACCACCACTCAGAGCCAACCCTCTCCACAAGAACCGGATTACGTGAACCCCCAAGACGAACTCGAAACGAGCATCACTCGCTCTGAGGCCATTCCGGTCAGTGTGAGCAGCATGATCGACTCGAGCGAGTTCCGCTCCCAGATGGGAGATGTTACATATCATACACTCAACGGCAGGATGAGCCCTAGTTACAGCCCAAACAACTATGCTACTTTGACACCGTTACAGCCACTTCCTCCTATCTCCGCAGTTTCGGATAAATTCAGTCATGTCAATGTTTCGGGCCCTAACGTCAGCGGCAGCTTTACGCTCATGCCTCAAAACAACGGACTCGGTGCAGGAATCATGGATATGTCTGCATACGGGCACAGGTACCATGATAAACTAGGCATGACCGGGGTGAGTATGAATATGGGGCCCACACTGGGTGCCACTGCGATGACCATGATGTCTAGCAATAATCTGAATTACCAACAGAGCCTCGGCTCATATGGGTATCATATTCAAAACGGGCTAGCATCGCCAAAATCCGAACCCAAAATGGCATCACCCAACAGTTATGTAGACTCGTATGCAGCCTCGCCCATGCGAATGGACCACAACGTCACAAGATTACACTCACCAAATTCTATGATGGTGATGAATGGAATACACAGTGCCCCAACACCATCACCTCACAGTGACAGTCCTCACCGGGACAGAGCTGGGACATCCCTGGACCTACAGAACAAACAGCAGCAAGAAATTGAGGAGATAAACACTAAAGAACTGGCTCAGAGAATAAGCAGTGAACTCAAGCGGTACAGTATCCCACAAGCTGTTTTTGCTCAAAGGGTGTTGTGTAGAAGTCAGGGTACCCTAAGTGACCTGTTAAGAAATCCTAAACCTTGGAGCAAACTAAAGTCTGGTAGGGAAACATTTCGAAGGATGTGGAAGTGGTTGCAGGAACCTGAGTTCCAGAGGATGTCAGCGCTGCGTCTTGCAGGTAAAAGTCATTGCTTTCATATGGTTAACTGTATTTGTTTATTGTCTTACACACTATTGCTAGCAAACATGTTAATTCACTGCTTTTTATATAGAAGTCCTTTTAATTTCTTATGTGTTATTTTCACAATGATCCATATAGTTTTTGTCTGCTTTGCTTTTTTTTAAAATTATTTTGGTTTTTTCACTTCGTTTTTTTCCCCCCATGTAAGTTTCAATAGATTGGAAAATTTACAAAAATTTTAGATGGGAAATATTTAAAATCTGACAGTCTTTTTTTTTTCTCCCATCAAATCAGTTTTCTGAGATTATTTAGAAATTATGTTTTTTAGTCTCTTTCATTTTTAAAATATTCAATTTTGTTTAATAAATATATTTTCTTAGAGTAATAAAAGTTCTTGTGTTTTACTGAGACACATAAATATAAGGGAAGCAACACTGGAACAAAGTAGGCTAAGTTATTATATGAGGCAGTTAATTCTTTATGTCTCGTATAAGACAGTATTATGTGACTGGATGATATTCAACATTCCAAGGTCGACCCAGCCTTGAGTGGGCACCAGGTATAGTCCTAGGAAGTAAAGGTGGCCAAAGTCAGGTTGGCCCCATCAGCCACCTTGTGCTGATTGGTCTATAAAATATAGATCTAGCCCTATATGCCCAATATGTCTAAAGGTGTGGAAGAGGGTTCTTTACTATTTTATTTACCAGTCAACATGTTATGTATGTTTTTCCATCTTATGTTTAGTGAAGGACTCTGAAGAACTTGACAACATGTTTGTTTCTCTCGCAAAAGTTGACATTGAGCCCCTCTAGAAGTAGTACAACCGTGAGCTTAATATTGACATTCTTAACTCCCTTGAACATTAGCTAGGACCTTGTGGGACCGAAAGAGATAAGGAGAGTTGGAATGAGACCAGCCACTTTATCCCATGAATATGTGGCCACAAAATTTATTTATGATGTAGAAGTCTACAAAGGCCAGGTGTGTGTTACAGAGAGTTGGAATGAGACCGACCACCTTATCCCATAAAAATGTGGCCACAAAATTTATTTATGATGTAGAAGTCTACAAAGGCTAGGTGTGACTAAGAAAGTTAAAGAGAGTTGGAATGAGACCGGCCACTTTGTCTCATAAATATGTGGCCACAAAATTTAATTATGATGTACAAGTCTACAAAAGACTTGGAGTGACTTGGTGGAGGGCCTTAGCTCCACTGGGAGTTAGAAGACAGAAGAAGAACAGTTGAATATCTAGAGTAGTCATACAGTAAATTCCTCCGCTGTAAACAGAGGCATTGATTTGCCTGTCAGTACATAACGACTGACTAACTGATAGTAATATGGAAGCAGAGGAACAGTATTGATAGTTGAGAAACTATGCTATCACCTGTCCACATACAGTTCATGTTTATGGCTCTAATCTTTGCAGTTCCCATAGGCATTATGTGTGTCATTTTACAATGTCATTTTAAGCACTTAATAATAAATTATTTTTTTTGGAAAAGGGGGGGGGGGGGGAGGGGGTTAATCCCACTCCAGAGATCATTAAATACATTAATGACATTTAGGGCAATCCTAAATATATATATATATATATATATATATATATATATATATATATATATATATACACACACACACACACAATCTGAATTATTAACACTGTATTTTTTCATTATTTAGTATAGTGTGAACGGACAACAGTCGAGAAAATTATTAAATCTCCACAACTGAAGATGTTGAATATTATAGTCTATAACACAGTGGGCCAAGGTTCAAGCCGCAAAATTTAAATAAAATTAAGAAAGAAACCTAGTAGCCTCTATGTGTAGATGTCGAGCATTTAGTTTGTATTTTAACGGCCCCCCTCCCCCACCCCTTTTTTTGTAGTCTGTATGATTAACATCTCAGGGGTGAGACTAAAACAGGAGTAAATCCCAGAAACCCCCTTCATCTGTATAATACAGTTCTATTAGGCACACCTAGGGTTACAAAAGTAACATGTATAATGAGAGCAGATTTTATCATCTTATACATTTTCATTCTTGGATATTACAGTTGCCTTGAAACAGACTTAGTGTATCACATATACTTTCTGTATTATTTATTGTATTTGCACATAAAACACGCAGCAAAATTGTGCTGGCACATAAATATAATAAATGTCACAGTAAATTTGACATTCTGTGCCCAAAATGGGGAGATAGAGTGTTGTATCTGCCGTATTGCACAGTTTGTGCGGAGTGTGTCTGTGTGGTGGGATGTTTCTCTTAGTTAGAATACACAGATGTGGTAAACAGATAGCTGTGTTATGGGTAACATTTACAGCTGGGGGTTATGAGGCATGTCTGCCATTGTATGTTGAAACTGGATTCAGCAGCCTGCTCCAGTGAACTGCGTGTAATGGTTAGGAATGAATGAATGAATAAATCAATCAAGACTTGTCATCACTGCCTCAGGACATTCTTTGCTTAATCCCCTTTATCAGTAGCCAATGAATTCCAGCCATTTACAGTCTGATTAAAAATTTGCCTGTCTCTCCTCCTTTGAGAGAAACTCATCCAAATTCTCTGCCTAATCCCAGTCGAATCATTCTCCCCAGATATGGATGCACTGTTTTTTCCTATAAAGCCTTCATTCACCATGTCTGCTTTATGATAAAGTAGCTCACTGCCCAGAGATGTGGGGGCAGCTAATCTATCAACCCTCTCATAACCATGCACACCTGAATATCCTAAGCAGAAAATCCACCATATTCTTCTTATCCGAGTCTTATCAAGCAGTGCAAGTCACTGAGTACCAGACACTAGATTTCTAAGCATGTTCTATGTGTCAGTTGTAATTACAACATTTTGGGCCTGACTGCTCTCCTGTCATGGTAAGCTTCTGTTACTGGGTAGGAAGTTGGTGGCAATCATTGCACTGTAAATAAACCAGTGATGGTCATCTGCAGATATCTGCTGTGTCCTGCATCTGTTAAAATCATTTTGGCTCTTTTTTCACAAGAGGCAGTGATGGACATTGTGTGGTGTTTTTATTGGCTCAGGAACAGAGCAACTATGGAGTGACCTGTTTGTTGTGATGTTTGCAACCGTGATTGCGTGGTCACCATCTTGCCCTTGTCTTTTCTTGTGACATGTATTCACTAAGGAAACACATTCCTGATCCTAGTTGTGTCATCCTGTCCTTTACTTTCCATGTCCTCCCCATCTTATCCCCCTATGTTCTCTCCCCCCCCCCCCCCCCCCCCCCCTTTTTTTTTTATTTCTTTAACCATCTGGGTTCAAGTGCAAAGATATTCTAATTATATTATACTGTTGTTGTTTTTTTTTTTTTAGATTATATCTGTTCAAGGAAATTACTAAAGATGTTTATATGAAAGATAAACACATTAGCATAGGTCCTCAGCCAGCTTATGCTAAGCACTTTGTAGATTTTATCAAACTGATATGCTTGCGAACAAAGCCTACTATAGGCTTGCAGGCAAGGATAGGCTTGCAGGCAAGGATAGGTTTGCAGGCAAGGATAGGCCTTCTGGCAAGCCTAGCTTGCATGTAAGGCTTACAGGTGGTGGGGGGGGGGGGGGGGAGGGGGGGTCATGGACCAGGCTGATATCCCCAGTTCTCTTCCAGAAGTAAAACATTCACCAAAACCAAGTGAGGATTGTGACTCTATGGCTATGGTCAGACTGCAAGGACATCAGGCTAAACAGTTGAAGGTTGTGGCCAAACAAGAGCACTATACGGGAAGCCAAGGAAGAAATTAAACCAACATAGAATTTGTGTCTTCAGTCGCTACATGCTGCGGAGTTACTGAGGAGGGGATCCGAGCACTTATGGACTGAATGGTTCAGTGTGAATTGAGGATAATCTGTGGACCAATGAACTAACTTAGATTTTGCAGCTGGAGTTTCCTTTGCAATGAGAGTCAGTTTTATAGGGTTTGGGGTAGCATTGTGGGGGGGGGGGGGGGGGGGGGGGGGGGGGGGGGGGGGGGGGGGGAGAGATAGACTCCCTACCTCCCAGACAAGCATGTTGTGAAAGTCAACTGATTAGCTAGCTGTGTTTCCTTCAAAGTCAGAATGCATCTGCCTAAGAAGCGAGGAACCAACAGTCTGCATATAAATAAGCTAGATGTGTATAAGGGATGTGCATGCAAAACTCAAGTTCTGGAAAAAGACAAAAGTCCAGTAGTGGACGAATAACCAGAACGTTCTGCTGGAGTTTGCAACCGGTGAGTGCAAAGAAGAAATTAACACACCCAGATTGTTCGCTTCTCACAGCATGCAGGGGAGGTAACCAGTGTTGCCACTTTGTTGGCTTTCCTCTCTTGTCCTGGTAACAGACGGGCAACAGAGCTTCTGTATTTGTTCACTTCTTTCACTACCATTGCGCTCACCATTTAATTCCGTTTGTGTTTCCTTTGAAGTCTTGGCACCCATCTAGTTTTTTTTTTTTTACCCACTCTGTCCCTTTTACTTTGTCCAGTATGTGTGTTATTGTCAGTCCTTAAGACTCAACATTGATTAGGTTCAGGGCTTTTATTTGTCTGGTGAGATGCAAACTTACGCAGTATAGGCACCTCTTGTATGCACCTTTTTTTTTTTTTTTCAACGATACTGTAATAGGCAATTCGTGGTGAGTACCTCCACCTTTTTTCTGGAAACAAAAACCCTGGTTTCAGGTAACAGTTGCTTGGACAGAACAAGCCAACGTAACAACACTTTGGGCGCTTTAAGAGTGAAGTAGTGAATGAATTGACAACGTTACAGTTCACTTGTTATTTTGTGAGTTTTAAACTGAGGACCATAATGAGGGAGAATGGGCTGTTTTCTGTATAGAAAAAGAACACGTATATCATCGTTGGCTGGCTGACTGGCATGGGCGATCATGCCTCTCCACAGCTTGCGATCTTCAAAGGCATATTGCAGTTGCTGGACTAAGATCCCTGAATCCCATGATAAAAGGCGGTCGAGAACCATTCTGTGTTGTCTTCCCG